TGCGCTTTTGTTTTTATTATATGAGGCTGCAGGGACCCCCGTATATATACACTGGAGGGGGCCATCATTTTTCGTGTATATAAATGGGGGGGGCTGATCACTCTGTTTTGTCCCCCAAAATTTGCAGGGACTCTCAGATTTACCCCCACAGAGTTGAATAAATCATTTATATATACACTGAGACGTTTTTTGACTCAGTATTTTATACACTGAAAGCTGCATTTTTTTTCAGAATTATCCCACAGGGTACACAAATCAGTATATATACATGAAGTCCCGGGATCAGTATACATAAAAATGAGAGGTGCTTGACTCAGTTTATATATACTGAGGGCATGATTTAAATATACTGAGGCTGCATGATGGGAAATTTTTAAAACACGGAGAGGGCATCTTTCTCATATTTTAAATATATTGAGAGGTGCATGACCCCAGAAATTTTACATTTGAGGTGCATGATTAATTTATAAAAACACTAAAGGGTTCCCATGACTCAGTATATAAAATATATTATGGGGGGCCCATGTTCAGTATATACTGAAGCTGCAGGGACTCCCAGCAATTTTATACATGAGAAGACTTCATTCTCACTTTTCACTGAGAGGTGAATGATATTATATAAACCTTAGAGGTGCAGGGCTCGGTAATTTACACTGAGAGGTGCATAAATCAGTTTATATCATGGGGTACCGCTTTAAATAAAACATACAATGAAAGGCGCAAGATTTTAGCAAAATTTTCCCACTACGGGGGGAAATAAACTCTCAGTTTTTATTACACTTAGAGTAGAGGACTTTTTATATATACACCGGAGAGTTTGCACGACTCCCCCGTATTTTATACACTCAGAGGTGCGGGATTTGCCCGTAATATATCCCTGAGAGGTAATGACTTTTCGTATATTATCTAGACCGGGCATCACCCACTATATATTCACTAAAGAGGTCCCATGACCCCTCAGTATATTAAAATGAGAGGTGCTTTAAAACCCCTTAGTATATGTCCCACAAAAGAGGTGATTACTTTATTTTAAGGTACACTGAGAGGTGCATGATTAAAGTATATATAAACAGAGCTACCCCTCTCAGTTTATGTATTTTGAGAACGGGTATAAATCTCGTATTTTTATACCTGAGAGGTGAACGACTCTCGTTTTTCACACTGGTATATATATTGGGTCCGCACCTCTATGTTTATCCCTTGGGGGTTTTGAAATGACCCCAATTTTATACACTGACAGGTCCCTTGACTCAGTATATTTACACTGAGGGGGTGCAGGGACTCGGGATATATACATGAGAGGTGCATGACTCAGTATACATGCATGAGAACTGAAACGACTCTCGTTTTTATTTAGTGGGTACCACTTCCTGTCTCCCCCCCTTGTTTTCCCCATTCTAGAGCTGTTTTAAGCACGGTTTTCTCTCTAGGGGTTTCTTTTTGCCTTGTTACCGGGGGTTTACACTAATACCTTTTGTTGTCATAGGGGTTTATAGTTTTAACAAAATTCTTTACTTGGTAGGATATTAAGTCAAAAGTTTTTGCTTTGTATTTTTTTGGGCTCCCTTTACACCCGGGGAAAACGGGCCCTTTTAAATTTCCGGGGGGAGTAAATTATGCAAAGATGTGTTGAAGCTCTCGTGTATTTATATGAAGCTGCATCATTTCACTATATAAAATAAAATTTTTATATTTTATTATAATTTATATATATATATATATATATATAATTTTATATTATATATAAAAATTTATATATAATATAAATATTTTACTCCCATTTTAATTTATAAAATAATATATAAAATATAAAATTATTTATATATATTTATATTTTTAATATATAATATATATATATATATACTGGGGACTGCATCATCCCTGTTTTTATATAAAATATATATATAAAATTAATATTATATATTTATTATATAAATAAAAAACCCATTGAAAGAATAGGGGAAATTTCCCAAAGGGCGCTTTTGATCCCTAAATTATCAAGGAACTAAAAAGTAAAGCATCCAAGGAAGCTATATAAGGGTCTGGTCGGCACCTCACTATCAGATCCCACAACGGTTTAAACACGTGACGCGCGGCGAGCCAACTTGGAAAGGTCCTTGGCACAACTCACCCCACAAACTATTCTACCCAAGAAATAAGAAATTTTAAAGATTATTTGTCCAGTGATTATTAAATTCTTCCCAAATTCTATTAATTATAAATGGATCTAATTTATATAAACCAAAGGAAATATTCATATTATTGTCAAAACTGCTTTTTATGAAACAAGATTCCAATTATATTCCTGTCGACCATGGACTTGCTTGATACTACTTTCTCAACTTTTTGAAAATCAATTGGATGGTTAAAATCTCTTACATGAATAAATAGAGCATTGGAATCTTGTCCAGTTCTAATGCTATATTTATGTTGTTTTAATCTTAGTTCGGAGATTTTTACCAGTTTGACCGTAATAAACTTTATCGCAAATTTTACAAGGAATCTTATAGACACATCCATCACCATTTTGGGGGAATTCTTTATCAAAAGTTTTTTTACTGTATCGAGATTTTTGAATACAACTTTAATATTAAAAGTCTTAAGAAGAGAGGCATATCAACCAAGTTTTCATGGTAAGGGGAGAACCAACATATTTTTATTTGAATAAGGCTGGTTGTCCCTTTTTGGATTGTAAAAAGTATTTCTGGCAACTTTAAAAGATTTATCAATTACATTTCTTGGGTATTTTAAATCATTACCTATTTCATAAATTTTGGATATTTCCTCATCTATGAAACTCAGGACTACAAATTCGTAAAGCTCTCAGAAACATTGATGAGAAAACAGACAGTTTTGACTCTATCTTGATGCGAGGAATAATAGTGGACATAGGAACAGTTATTAGTAGGTTTTCTGTAAATTTTAAATTTGAATTCATTATTACCCTTAATAATTAAAACATCTAGAAAAGGCAATGAGTTATTTTCTTCAAACTCAACAGTAAAGTTTATTGAATGGGCTAAGCTATTTAATTTTCCAAGGAAATGGTGTATATCTACATTTTTGGGCATAAAGACACAAAATATCATCAACATATCTGAACCATTTAGCTCTATTAGGGAGGATTGTGTTAAGTAACCTTGTTTCAAAAAATTCCATGTATAGGTTACTAAGAACAGGTGAAAGAGGATTTCCATTGCCATACCAAACTTCTGAGTGTAAAATTTATCATTAAATACAAATTTTGCATCAACAATGCAAAGTTTAATAAGTTTAATGATAGTAGGAATGGCAATGGTAAATCATAGTTAACGAGTTCTTCAGATAAGAAACTTAATAAATCATCAACAGGAACTTTCGTTAAACAAGGAAGTAACATCAAAAACTAACCATGTTAAAATCATTTAGGTCAGTCAAGGAGCTTAATTTATCAACCAAGTCTATGTTGTTTTTAACATTAAAGTTAGAAATTTTGCCAACAATAGGGCCCCAAAATATCAACAAGCCATTTGGAAAAAAA